ACTTGCATTTCCTGCAATACTCAAAATTGCTATTTTTTGTATTTATTGTTTCACTGAGGAGAACTTATTTGTTTCTTGTTATTTGCTGAACTTGTGCAAGCATGCTGAGCTATAAAAATAATTTTGATCTCACAAGCTAACCTGCTATATTACTTTCTGGATTTGGAGAGCATATATCTCTTGTATTATATCTATAATATGCCAGTGGATCAGATGTGTCTTATCTTCCTCATTGTTTAAATTTAACCTCCTTCAACAACTGGAGAGTACATAAAACATTCAGATTTACACGGGCTAGTATATTGTGTTGAAAGGAGAAATGAATAATCTAAAGTTCATGCTTGACTCTCTGTTAGCATGAACTATGATGTTTAATGGCCTTTACTTTTGCAAGACCAAAATAGGAGGAGACGCTTCATGGTTAAAAAGGCTACTTTTGTATCTGGTTTGATACATTTTAGTATTTCACGTTCATGTTCATAGCCAGCCTACGAGCTTGTATTGCATTTTTAATTTTCGCTATATTAGTATTTTTCAGGGTAAATTACACTTTGCCTCCTTTTTGTTTGACTTATTTATCACTTTGGTTCTTAAAGTTTATTTTTTGTCACTTTGGCCCTTTATGTTTCAAAAAAATTTCAATTTACTTCTAAAGTTAATTTTTATTCAAAATTAGACAGAAAATGTCACGATAATTATCACATAACATAAAAATATATTATTATATTTCGATTTGAGTTTGTGTCAAAGATGTGAATTATATATAATAAAATATTTTTATACTATGTAACTGTCGATGTGTCATTTTTTTTCTAATTTTTAACAGAATATAGTTTTAATAGTAAACTGGGAAAAACTTCAAATATAAAGGGTTAATGTGAGAAAAAATAAATTTTATGGGCCAAAGTGAGAAATGAGTCAAACATAAAAGAGATAAAGTGTAATTTACCCTTCAAAAAATTATTTGTTAGGATAAAATTATTTATAAAATATACTAAATATAAGAATTAAAATTTAATGGATAAAATGTTCAAATTATAAAACTTAGTATATAAGAATATGTTATGAATTAGTTAAAATACAAATACTTGAAAGAGATTTTTTTATTAAATTCCTCATAAATTTGAACAAGTGATAATTAAACTTTCATCGTGTTAAAATTTGACATGACACTCCTATCGTACTAAACTTGACACAATTTGTTTTTTATGTCCATCATGTTATAATTTAGTAATAGCATGATTGCATAACAATTGCTCGAGTTGCTCTAAGTTTTATAATTACAAATATTTAATGCCCATCTTATCATTAGCATTCAATTGCCAAAATCTTAAATTAGTACATTTTATGTTTTTGTAAATATTACTACAAAAATAAATAAAGATTGTATTTTTTTTATATGATATATATTATTTAATCACATCTTTTAAATTTTATTAAAGTGTGATATTTAGGAGTGTGATTAAAATGGATCATTTTTAATCACACCTTTTAAGTGTAATTAAAAATATTTGTGTGATTAATAGTATTTAGATCACACATTTTAAGTGTGATTAATAACATTTAAATGTGAAAAAAAATATTACACTCACTAACTTCTTATTTGCTCTTGTGGAGATTTGAACCATCAACCCTCTCACACCATAAACCTTATACAACACATAACACCATATGATTATATATGCAACATATATTATTTATATAGTACATAGACCTGTATTAATATAAAAGTATATATATAAAGATAATTATTTTTTATTGAACATAATTTATGTAAAAATAAATTATTTACTAAAAAAAACAGAGACCACTTTTGGCGACTAAACATAATTTTAGTCGCCAATTCTATACTTTTAGCTACTAATTATTTTTTTAGTCGTTAAAAAATTTAATTCTCAGGCTAAAATTACTATTTTTGGTAACTAAACTTCTTTTTAGTCGCCAAAAAGCCTCACTTTTAGCTACTAAACATCTTTTTAGTCTCCCAATGCCTCAGTTTTGGTTACTAAATTTTTTTTAGTCGCCAAAAAATCTCACTTTTGGCTACTAAAATTTTTTTAGTCAGTAAAAACCTCACTTTTGGCGACCAAACATCTTTTCAGTCACTCAATACCTTACTTTTGGCTACTAATTTTTTTTAGTCGCCAAAAAGCCTTACTTTTGGCTACTAAAATTTTTTTAGTCGGTAAAAGGTATATATGGGCAACCAAATAGATTTTTAGTCACCAAAACCTATACTTCTGGCTACTAATGCTTTTTTAGTCGCCAAAACCTATAGTTTCAACTACCAAATATGTTTTTTTAGTTGCCAAATATGCTTTTTCTTGTAGTGGAGTGTGATTAAATATATATATATATATAATTACACTTATTTAAAAAGTGTGATTAAAAAGTTGTAATGTATATATAATCATACTTTAATTAGAAGGTGTGATTAAAAAATATATAAATAATCATACTTATTTAAAAAGTATGATTAAAAAGTAGTAATGTATATATAATCACACTTTAATTAGAATATGTGATTAAAAAATATATATCTAATCACACTTGTTTAAAAATTATGATTAAAAAGTAGTAGTGTATATATAATCACACTTTAATTAGAATGTGTGATTAAAAAATATATAAATAATTACACTTTAATTAGAATGTGTGATTAAAAAATATATATCTAATCACACTTATTTAAAAATTATGATTAAAAAGTAGTAGTGTATATATAATCATACTTTAATTAGAATGTGTGATTAAAATATATATATATATATATAATCACACTTAATTGAAAATTGACATAAAAAATGAATATTATCACACTCAATCAAATTAAGTGTGATTAAAATATCAATCTAATTTTTTTTATCACACTTTTAATAAAAATGAGATATTTCTTTTATTAAAATGTGATCTTTAACTATTTTTGTAACAGCGAAATGGTTGATAAGAGTTAGATTTGGTTTACACATATGACAAAAATAAACAAAACACACCCACTTATTGGATAAAACCGTAGGAATCTAAAATATTTCATGTTATATTGATATGTATCTAAAATATTTTCGTCCGCCTCACGCCCTATATTGTTGACCATGCTATGACCTCAAACTTCAACATCATGTTCATTGAATTTTAAAATGAAATGTACAATTCGTTGAGAATCCAACACCTACTTGCCCCATGGTAAGCATCTTTTCGACAATTTTGAAATATGGGAATCTTATGGCAATGGTAACAAGTATTATTGGTCATGAGAGGTTAATCACTAATAATATAATATAATCGGAATTTATATAAATAGTAATATTATATCTCATCAATTTTGGATCCTTAAAATTAGGAGAAGAATTTCTTTCAGTCGAAAATCTGAACTAAAGCAGATTGTTTGGACTCGTAAAGCCCACTACAAGCCTTATTTTGATAATCTGAACCATTCATTTTATCGTACACTTCGTGTATTTTATCTATTAAAAAAATAAGTCGATCCGATAATTATATTTTATTCAATTTACCGTACTTTTTACTAAAAAATAGATGATAATTGTGTTTTTAAAAAAACAAATCATATATTTTTTTGTGATAAAAATAATAAATTGAACAAATTATAGTTATTAGATTAACTCTTCTTTTTCTTTTTTGTGGATAAAATACACAAAATAGCTAACAAAATAAACGGTCCAGATCATGGAAACTAACCCAAACAACCTGGACCGGAGGGAATCTTCCTCCTAAAATTATCCCCTAATGACATTACAAGTTTTCATTGGATAGTTTTTATGCTTTAACGAGGTTCTCAAGTAGTCTGAGATAGCACTTATAGTTGGTTAGGAGATCCAAAAATTAGTGGTTCAAAATATTTTTCATATATTAAATTAGATATTTAACTGTAAAAAATAATAATCAAATAACCATAAACAGAACAAATTCAAGTCAACGTATCCTATAATATTCATATGTAAGTGAAAATATCAAATCCTAACCTTTTATAATGAAGTGTAAAAGATGTTTTTTTTTTTTTTTAAATAATAGATAGGAGAATAGTTACAAATATGAAAAATGTTTACATCATTAAAAAAATCATAAACTATCACAAAAGCTATCAAACTTCTCTTAAGTTGAATTCAAAACCTCACACCATCACACCACAAAAGATATTACATACCCTTTGTATTATCAAAATTCTCTCTATAACAGTTAAACCCACGAGAAGGATGTGACACAACTATTAAGCCAAATGTCTTGATTATAAAAAATATTGATTAAGAGCATCTCCAATGCACTAGGCATATAATGCTTGTTAGGTAAAATGCCTAGTATAACTCACTTTTTTCAACTCCAATACACTAGGCATGTAATTAGGCATTTTAGCTCAACTCACATTCACTAGCTACATGTAGCTAGCCTTCAAGGGTAGGCAAAATGTGTTTAATCATTAGGATTATTTCCCTCCATCTTTGTTGCTGATATGACATTTTATAAAATTAATAGTATTTTGATGAATAGTTAAAATAAAGAGCATGGTTGGAGCAGAAATATGAAACAGTTAATAGGCAAAATAAAATGTATACTTTATAGTAATGTTTAGATAGGTAAAATGCCTATGACCGTTGGAGATGCTCTAAGAAGTTAACTCTCATTGATTCCCATACTTGATATTTGTCAACACAAATAGTTTAATTCTTTTGTTTTTTTTACCCGATCAAAAGGAGATAATATACATTAGCCACTCCAACTATGTGGAGGATTTAAACAATTCAACCCTTGAAAACTTGAACTCGTGAGCTCAAGTAGGGCTGAATAATTTTATATGATAATCTCTAAATAAAATAGAGCATTACTGGCACTTGAATAATTTGTTCCATTTGTGATGGACTACAGAGAAGATTGGATGGAATAGCATGGTAGTGGGGACACACGTGCAAGAAAGACAGACAGACTCGTAGCCCAAAAAACATTGCCAAGTTGGCCATTGAAGTCATTGAAAGACAGACAGACCAAAGCAGCATCTCTGCCTAACCTTTTTTTGTTTCTTGGAAAATTGAAGAACCTATCCAGCTTTTAAAACTGCCATTGACAGCCATGTTAAAGCTTTCCAGATCTTTGGTACCCACAATCATGTGCATTTGCAAAAAAACAACTCAATCAAACCTTAATCTCTACTACTCCACTTATGATCATGATTCATGATGGTGACTCCACTCTCCCCATCATCAACACTCTCATTCTCTCTCTCTCTCTCTCTCCCATTTTCTGTCATCTTCTTCCATCTTCATCATCCAATGCTGTTCTAAATCCTCTATGACATTTCTGTGTCTATTCTCTCTAAAAAAAACTCTTCCTCTTTGCTTCTCTCTCTCTCTCTCTCTAGCTGGCTAGCTAGGTAACCCATCTTTCCAAGATGAAAACCCATGTGATTGAGTTCAAGTTCAACCTTTTAGCCATCTTTGTTATTGGGTTGTCTTCGTTCTTCACATATGGAGTGTCCCAGACCAACCCATCTGATGCTGCAGTGATGTTAGCTCTCAAGAACACCTTAAACCCACCCGAATCCATAGGGTGGTCCGACCCAGATCCATGCAACTGGAACCACGTGGTCTGCTCAGATGACAAACGGGTCACTCGGATCCAAATCGGGCACCAAAACCTCCAAGGTACACTCCCTCCAAACCTCTCAAACCTCACTCAACTAGAGCGCTTAGAGCTTCAATGGAACAACATTTCAGGTCCATTACCAAGCTTGAATGGCTTGAGCTCATTACAAGTGTTAATGATTAGCAATAACCAGTTTAGTTCAATTCCTATAGACTTTTTCACTGGCATGTCATCACTTCAATCTGTTGAGATTGATAACAACCCATTTTCAAGTTGGGAAATCCCAGAAAGCCTCCAAAATGCTTCAAGTCTTCAGAATTTCTCTGCTAATTCTGCGAATATCAGCGGAAAAATACCGGATTTTTTTGGACCCGATCAGTTTCCAGGGTTGATTAATTTGCATTTGGCTTTCAATAGCTTAGAAGGTGGGTTACCTGCGAGCTTTTCCGGGTCTCAAATTGAGTCTTTGTGGGTTAATGGGCAAACAAGTAATGGTAAACTCAGTGGAGGAATTGATGTTATACAGAACATGACATTCTTGAAGGAGGTTTGGTTGCATTCCAATTCATTTTCTGGTCCATTGCCCGATTTTTTGAAGTTGAAGGGCTTGGAAAGCTTGAGTCTCAGAGACAATTCATTTACTGGTCCTGTTCTAGTTTCTTTGGGGAATCTTGGGTCACTAAAGATTGTCAATTTGACCAATAATTTGTTTCAAGGACCAATGCCCAAGTTCAATGATTTAGTTGCAGTGGATATGATAAAGGATACAAATAGCTTTTGTTTGCCACAACCCGGTGATTGTGATCCGAAAGTGAATACGCTGCTTTCCACTGTGAAATCCATGGATTACCCAATAAAGTTTGCTGAGAATTGGAAGGGAAATGACCCGTGTGTGAATTGGTTTGGGATTACTTGCAATGGTGAAAACATTACCATTGTTAATTTTCGAAAGATGGGTCTCATGGGTACCATTTCTCCTGAATTTGCATCACTTAAATCGCTGCAAAGACTGGTTCTTGCTGACAACAATCTTACTGGTACAATTCCTGATGAGATTACAACTCTGCCTTTGCTCACTGAACTTGATGTGGCAAATAACAAGATTTTCGGAAAAGTACCAGTCTTTAAGAGTAATGTCATAGTAAATACAAATGGTAACCCTGAAATTGGGATGGAGAAAAGTAATTCTACATCTTCAAGCCCGTCTTCTGGTGGTTCTGGTTCAACACCAAATGCTGGTTCTAGTTCTAAAAGTGGTCAGAAATCTAGGAATTGGATTGGAATTCTTGTTTTTTCCATAATTTGGGTGGTCTTTGTGGTTTTCTTCATTGGTTTGGCTTCTTTCTGTCTGTACAAAAGAAAACAACAAAAGCAGTTTAGCAGAGTGCAGAGCCCGAATGCAATGGTAGTCCATCCTCGACATTCAGGATCTGATAATGAGAGCATGAAGATCACAGTTGCAGGATCAAGTGTTAGTCTTGGTGCGGTTAGTGAAACCCGTACAATTCCTAGCTGCAAAACCAGTGAAATCCAAATGGTTGAGGCAGGAAACATGGTGATTTCTATTCAAGTCCTTAAAAACGTGACAAACAATTTCAGCAAAGACAACATATTGGGACGTGGGGGTTTTGGGACAGTTTACAAAGGGGAATTGCACGATGGAACGAAAATTGCAGTGAAAAGAATGGAATCTGGGGTAATTACTGGGAAGGGTTTGACAGAGTTTAAGTCTGAGATTGATGTTTTGACAAAGGTTCGACACCGCCATCTTGTTGCTCTTCTTGGGTACTGTTTGGATGGGAATGAGAAGCTTCTTGTATTTGAATACATGCCTCAAGGGACGCTCAGTAGGCATCTATTCAACTGGGTAGAAGAAGGGTTGAAACCGTTGGAATGGACAAAAAGGTTGACACTTGCATTGGATGTGGCAAGGGGTGTGGAATATCTCCATGGTTTGGCCCATCAAAGCTTTATACACAGAGACCTAAAGCCCTCCAACATTCTTCTTGGGGATGATATGCGAGCTAAGGTTGCAGATTTTGGTCTCGTGCGTCTTGCTCCGGAAGGGAAAGGCTCTATTGAAACAAGGATTGCAGGAACTTTTGGGTATCTAGCGCCAGAATATGCAGGTACCTGTTGAGCACTCCATTCTATCTAATTTTAGTTTAAACATATGATTCTTTTTGGTGCTTTCTATCATGATTTATTAGTTAATCGAATCGTTAATCAACTGTGTATAGTGAGATTCACCCATAAATTCGTATCAATCTATTCATCAATCGCAAATCAAATTGCGAATTGTAAGATTCTGATAACAGAACTTTGGTAGCCTACTCAGTTGAAACTTGAAAGTAATCACATCAATCTTGTAATTACAAGCCTTTTCCCCATTTTTTGGAGGTAGAATTATGACTATTAGCCATAATTAGCTTGTTGAATAATCCAGCTTGTATTGGCCAATATTGGAGATCAGAGTTTTTGGTGCAAATCACCAAAATTCACAAATTGAACTCCAAATACTGCTTGAAGGTACAATGGCTTGGCTAATGCAGCCTAACTTTGTAAAATTGTACTTGATCTGATGCTTTCTTGGGTTACATTTGGAAGTTCTCAAAGCAGAAAATATTTTCTCCTGAAAAAATTGAATGGTTTTTCAATCATTTTCCTTGATGTTGTCAATTCCCACAGCCTAACATGAGTACCCACTTTTTAACTTTGTCATGTGCAGTGACGGGGCGTGTGACTACTAAAGTGGATGTCTTCAGTTTCGGGGTGATTTTGATGGAGCTAATCGCTGGAAGAAAAGCACTCGATGAGAGCCAACCTGAGGAAAGCATGCACCTTGTAACATGGTTCCGGAGAATGAATCTTAACAAGGACACATTCCGGAAGGCCATTGACCCCATAATTAACCTCAACGAAGAAACGCTTGCAAGCATCATCACGGTTGCTGAGCTGGCAGGGCACTGTTGCGCTAGGGAACCATATCAAAGGCCTGACATGGCTCATGCCGTGAACGTGCTATCTTCGCTAGTAGAACTCTGGAAACCATCTGAGCAGATCTCCGAGGACATGTTTGGCATTGACCTTGAAATGTCTTTGCCACAAGCACTTAAGAAGTGGCAAGCTTTTGAAGGAAGAGATTCTTCTTCTTCCTCATTCCTCCCTAGTTTTGATAGCACTCAAAGTAGCATACCAACTCCGCCGTATGGATTTGCTGACTCTTTTACATCAGCAGATGGGAGGTGATGAGAAGTTGCGGGTATGGTGGTGTTGATTATGGTTGATTTTGTATGTTCATTCTATTCAATTCTTTCTTTCTGTAAACTATGTGATTTTTTTTTTTTCCCCTTCTTCTTATGGTTTGATCTGTTTTAGCTTTTGACTATAATCTGTTCAGACTTTCAGTGATGTAGTTTGGATATTTTTGCACTTGCTTTGTATTGCAATGAAATGAGGTTCTCAAGAAATAGTTGTATGTCTTTAATCTTGGGATTTGTTTTTGTTTTCATTTTCCCAGGGGAAAAAAAAAAAAAAAGTTTGATGAACTGTTACCAAAAATCATTTTCAAAACTTGTTTTAGCACAAAAATTAAAATTTGAAAATGACAGGTTTTTTTTTGGACTTTTCATTATTTTGCTTTTAAAAAACATGAAAATGAAAATGAAAATGAAAATGACAAAAACACAACCAAACAAAATACAACTGACCCTCAGCATCTGTTTTCCATTGAGGCTTCAAATCAGTTTAAAAGTTGAGAAAATGCATCTTTTCATCCCATCGCTTTGGAAAAAAAAGGTTTGATGATTTTTATCATTTCCCAATGGAATCTTTGTTTTGATTATCCCTTGTTCTCATGGCTTTAGACTAAAAAGGGAAATCAAAAAGTGGGAATTATTTGGGAAACCAATCATAGAAGGTTTGTTGAAGTGGTCTGCCAACGAACAGATGGTTGCTTTATTCTCAAAGATATATTATTATGTTCTTTGGAATCAGAAAGCTGTTATCAGGATGACAAAGCAGATTGAGAATTGCAAATAGGAAAAGAAAAAGGAAATACTTTCATATATCTTATTTGTAATATGATAAATTGAATTTTTTATTTTATTTTATTTGCTTTTCTTTTTAGACAACTGAATAAGGGAGTTATGAGAGACAAGCACAAGCTTGCATCCGACATGGTCACATTAAGGCCAAGTTTGGCTTGTGGTTAAAAAGTCAAAAATTTACTTAAAAAGTTAAAAAAAATTTACTATTTACTAAAATTCAAAAATTACGGCTGCACAAATTTCAATTCTAATTTTTCCTTACACACTAATTTATACAATTTTTTAATACACATTTTTCTATAAAAAGTCAAAAAGTTAACCCAAACGACTATATTTTTTCTCAATTTTTTAGTCTAAAAAGTCAAAAAATACACTTATTTAGGACATTCCAAGCAATCCCTAAGTCTTTGTTGAGCCTTAGATTATCCGTTTCACTCTTTTCTGTCTCTTGTCCCAAATATCTTTCTTATCATAGGATCTCTCTTTTGATTTTAACCTTGTGAATGGAAGAACAAAAAAGGATAAATTATACTTTGTCCCTTTTATGTCTGGTCACTTTTTCACTTCAAAAGTTTATTTTTTCTCACTTTGGTCATTTATGTTTTAAGTTTTTTCCACTTTAGTCTAAAAACTAACTTCGGTTCAAAATTAGACAAAAAAATGTCATAATAACAGTCAAATAATATTAAAAAAAATTATTATATTAAAATTTATGTTTATGTCACAAGTATGAATTATATAGTGCTTTATATGGTCTCAAACAAGCTCCCCGCGCTTGGTTTGCCAAGTTCAGCTCTACTATTCATGACTGTGGTTTCACCTCCAGCTCTTATGATACTGCACTTTTTATCCGCAAAACTGCTCAAGGGACCACTTTGCTTCTTCTTTATGTGGATGATATGATTATCACCGGTGATGATGTTAATGGTATTCTTCATCTTAAACAATTTCTTAGCCATCATTTCGAGATGAAAGACCTTGGTCCTCTCAGCTATTTCTTGGGTCTTGAAATCTTCCATGATTCCACGGGTTCTTTTCTCTCTCAGGCTAAGTACACATCTGATCTTCTCACCCGTGCTGGTCTTACCGATTGCAAGACTGCCTCAACTCCCCTGGAGCCTCAGAGTCGTCTTACCCCTCTTGATGGCATTCTTCTCTCTGATGCTACTCTATATCGTCAGCTGGTTGGCAGTCTTGTCTATCTCACTGTTACTCGTCCTGATATTGCCTATGCCGTCCATATTGTCAGCCAGTTTATGTCGGCTCCTCGTACCACACATTATGCTGCATTAATTCGTATCATTCGCTATCTCAAAGGCACCATGTTTCATGGTCTTCATTATTCCGCCCGCTCCTCTCTCCAGCTTCGTGCTTTCTCTGATGCTGATTAGGCTGGCGATCCTACTGACTGCCGCTCTACTACTGGGTTTTGCTTTTTTCTGGGTGATTCTCTTATTTCTTGGCGCAGTAAGAAACAATCTCTTACTGCTCGTTCTAGTACCGAAGCCGAATACCGTGCCCTTGCTGATACTACTCAGGAGCTTCTCTGGCTTCGTTGGCTTCTTGTTGACATGGGTGTTACTCCATCTGGCGCCACTGCCCTCTTTTGTGACAATCACAGTGCTCTTCAAATTGCTCACAATGATGTTTTTCATGATCACACCAAGCACATTGAGATTGACTGCCATTTTATTCGGCAACACGTTACTCATGGTACTGTCCATCTCCATCCGATCCCTTCTGTTGATCAACCTGCTGATATCTTCACCAAAGCTCATTCTCCTGGCCGCTTCGTTGACCTTGTCTCCAAACTCAAGTTGGTTGATGTTTGTCCTCCTTGAATTTGAGGGGGGATGTTAATACTATACCTATAATATGTTATAAGTTAATACTATATTAATCTGTATAGATCTACAGCTGCTAATAGTAGATAGTATATTTAATAGATTATATTAAATATCTGTATAGATAGTTGTTGCTAGCCTAGCATAGATAGACGCCTTCTTTTCCTTTTGCTTTCAGCTATCTTTCGGTGGCCTTTCATTTGTATATTTCCTTTGTTCATCATTTTGTCTTGTAAAACATCTCCTATATAATGGAGGTTCCATTTGGTTGCAATATACATCAAAAACATAGAGCTAATATTTGCTCTCTCAATCTCTCTCAATTTCTTATAATCAGGATGACAAGGTAGATTGAGAATTGCAAATAGGAAAAGAAAAAGAAAATACTTTCATATATCTTATTTGTAATATGATAAATTGAATTTTTTATTTTATTTTATTTGCTTTTCGTTTTTAGACAACTGAATAAGGGAGTTATGAGAGACACGTAACACGTTTGCATTCGACATGGTCACATTAAGTCTTTGTTGAGCCTTAGATTATCCGTTTCACTCTTTTCTGTCTCTTGTCCCAAATATCTTTCTTATCATAGGATCTCTCTTTTGATTTTAACCTTGTGAATGGAAGAACAAAAAAGGATAAATTATATTTTGTTCCTTTTATGTTTGGTCACTTTTTCACTTTAACACTTAAAGTTTATTTTTTCTCAGTTTGGCCGTTTATGTTTTAAGTTTTTTTCACTTTAGTCTTAAAACTAACTTCTGTTCAAAATTAGACAAAAAATGTAATAATAACTGTCAAATAATATTAAAAAAAATTATTATATTAAAATTTAAGTTCATGTCACAAGTACGAATTATATATAATAAAATATTTTTATAGCATGTGAGTATCAATGTGTCATTTTCTGTTTAATTTTGAATACAAATTAACTTTAAGAGTAAAGTGGAAAAATTTTAAAATATGAAGAGTCAAAATAAAAAATAAAAAAAACTTTAAAGATTAAAATAAAAAAAGTGACCAAACATAAAAAAAAATAAAATATAATTTATCCAACAAAAAAAAAAAAAAAGTGTGACAAGGGATCCAATTTTTGTCCTCTATTATGCTGTCCCCTCATTTTAATGATCACTTTTTTGGTATCTCCTAAATCCTAAGAAATTGTTATTTCCACTACTTGAACGGCCCATGCGAAAGGGAAGGCTTGGAGAAAATATTAGCTTTCTATATTATAAAAAATTGTGTGCGCATTTATTCAAATTTAAAAGTTAAACTTAATTTTTAAATTTAATAATGTGGCAATCAATTAGAATATTTAAGATAAATTTTTCTGTCATATCTTCTTTAATTATTAATTAATTATCTCTCTTATACATTGTTGAGTCTAAAAAATGAATCTAAAAAATAGATTTATATCATTTTTAAAAATGTATGCATATTGAAGTTCTAGAATTTGAGAGGACTAGCTTTCTAACAGAACGTTGAAGTTTATCATCAAGGTAAATTTAAACTTTCAAACTGTAGACTATTCAAAACTAGAAAAGTAAAAAACTTTGTACCGAATGCACAAGGATTTGAGAGAGGCACAATTTGACCAAAAAAATATGTCCGCATGTGTCTCAATTTTTATGTAAGACTTGTTTTGTGTAATTTTTTTCTAATTTAAAATGGTTTTTTTTTTTCAAGTACCTAGTAATGTTTTTTAAGAATGGTAAGGATAAAATAATTCTCTATATTAGTAGTCCTCCGAAACACAGGGTGACAAAAATGCCCCTACCACAACATGTGAGGTAAGTCTATTTATTACCTTTTGAATTCGTTTGAAAATTCAAAATTTGATAACTTTTAGTTTAGATCTCTATTTTTTTTTATATAAAATTTGTATTTTTAAAATCATTTCATCAAAATCTATAAAACAATATTCATGATAAGTATATGTAAAAAAAATAAAAAGACGAAACTTCACCTAGACCAGTGAAATTTTCAACTAATGCCTAACAATTGTGAAATTGAAGGTCAATTCCAAATGTTTCACTACCTACACTGAAATTACAGTGAAATTTACTTCAGGATAGTGAAATATCATTGTCACAAATTTTCACACAATGAAATTTTCAATTGATGTCTTACAATTGCAAAATTGAAGGTTAATTGCAAAAATTGAGTTCTTATTTTCAAATTTAGAGTTAAATTTTCAAATTGAAAGCTTTGAAAAGAAAATTTATTGACTTTAGTTATTAGAATTTCACTAAACTCAATGAAATTCACTGAACTGTTACCAAAAATCAATGAAATTGAATGCTATAAATATCAAAATTAAATGCCAATTTCAATTTTTTTTTTTTTTGGTTTTACACAGTAATTTCACCGTTCAAACTCTATAAAACCTCTAACCCCTTAGTAATTAACATATAGTTATGCTAACCCCTAAATATAACTAACCAATAATATATAATAGCAACAACAGTACTAGTTTTGTTTTTTTTTTTATTTTTTTTTTTAATTTTAGAAAGCAACAGTACTAGTTATGGTTGTTACTATTATATATTGTAGTAGTGAGAGTAATCTAGGTAGCTAGCTATGCAATAAAACCAA